GAATGCTTCTTTTTTAATTGGTAAAGTGTTATGGAGTATAGTTTATTTTTATTCCCTCGATCAGATGACCTATTTGGGAGGAGTTCTTCGATCTAAAGTTTTGATAACCATCTTAGAATCATTAGATGATTATTCTAAAAAAAAAATGATACTAAAATTTGAATTTTCTAACATTTAAATCCCGACATCTAAATATTGGACGGTTTCTATTAATATTAAGACATTATTTTTTCAAGTGCTTATGGGGTACAATTAGAATTTTTTTTATGGGTGTGGTTTTATAAAGGTTGCAACCTTAAACAATCCAATTAAGAAATTATTAGGATTATCTGAAAATCTATTTTCATATCTAATTATATAATTTTAAACTCCAAAAATGGTTAAAATCAAATAAATCTAAAAACATAAGAAAATCTTGAAAATGGTCGGTCTAGACAATATGTTGCAAGATGCACTATTTTTGGGAGTCTTGCACGAGGGAGTAAATCGACAGTATATTCCATAGGGAAGATCTCTCTCATGCCAAAACTCCCACTTTTCTCTCATGCCGTTACGTGCCCATCCAATTAATAAGCGTGCCAAGCTTTTTGTCCCTCCCTCAATTTCTCAACAGGGACCAAAATATTTCAATTGATGTGTATGTTTGTGAAAACATGTTGTGAGAATGAAAAATCATAATAAACGAGTAACATGTGTTTTTCGTTTCAACCATGGGGTTCTCAAAAGCATAGTTAACTAAGGATGAGGTTTGTATAGAGCCGAGGCTCTAAACAATCAACGTATACAGCTTCAAATAATGCTGAAAAGTGTGGTTTCAATACTGGAAATATTTTTCACAGCCTTAAAATACATTTTCATCTTTTATTATAAATTTAAAGCTTAAACAATAGTGTAAATCGAGTAGATATATGAAAACTTGAAAATTGACGGTAAACAAATGAGTTACAAGATGCACTATTTCCAAAACTTGAAATCTATTTTTTTCTCATGTCCATGCATCTTGATGACGAGATGATCAATTTGATGATATCTAGTGAAATATTTGAGGTGGGCTCTAATTTGATTGTTTAGAGCCTCGGCTCTATATAAGCTTTTTTTTTTTATGTAACCCCTTGAAAAATAAAAAATTGGTTTGAATGAAAGTATTTTTTTTTTTGAGTAATTCAATGGGGGAGGATGAGCCTCTGCCCGTTTTTTAAATTGGTAGTAGTTTTTTTAATGTGTCAGGTGAGAATGAAAGCTTCGACCTTAGTTGGGACACAAGTGGTGCTACCACTATAAATCCGGCCCCATTCTCGTTTGAACGGAAGTTGTACAATCCAAATGCAATGCACCCTTTTTATGTTTCCAGCTGTCAAAACCCATAGCAGTACATCAATGTTTGACCAGGCATGCACGTCCAAGTCCATAAGAAGTGGATCAAGATCAACAATTCCTTTGTCTCCTTTGAAAAAAACATTAATATGAAACAAAATGACTAAAAAATGAAAAGGAAATGGTTTGATAGGAATTTAGCCCTATCAAAATAAATGAAGTCTTAAAAATTGCAATTCAAGTACTGAAAAACCATCTCAATTTGAACATTACGGCTGTGCAAAAAAACTAGGACTTTCAATTCTACAAACAATGTATATTGAAATAAATCATCTAGACTATCCATTTCGCTCTAAAAATAAATGCTTGCATATCCACAAGATCTATACAAATTTTTTAATTTCAAATTTTATTGTTGGCTTTGGAAATTAAATTTAGAACCATCATGAAGATTTTCAATGTCGGAAGTGCTTTCCGAACGAAGATTCGAGGCGAGGCTTAATTTTGTTTTCATAAAGCCTAAGCTCAAGCTCTATAAAACCTTCATCCAAATAAAAAAGCAGCGCCTCACTAAAATGATGAGCTCCATGTCACTAGGGCTGGCAATGGACTAAGCAGCCGAACCCAATCCAGCCAGCCCGTCTCAGACTAAGGTGGGTTAGGTCGCAAACTGGGTCTTGAGGGTCAAGCTAAAGCCAGTGCAGGCTCGGTTTGGTCTAGCATGATCCTCTTTTTTCCTTATTTTTCTTTTTTATATATATTTTTTCATATTTCTTTTTGGCCAGGCTAGACTAGGCCGTAATAGGGCCAGGGCCTGGGCCGGGCCTAAGGGAACAAGGGGTTGGGTGGCCTAGTGGGCACACTTGGACTACAAATTGGGGCAGTATGACAAAATACAAAATTTCAATGAGTACGTCATTAGAAGTAGCGTAGAAATGTCGCAAAGAAAGGGGAGGAATCTTCCTTTTGCATTCTGGAATTTGGAAAGAAAAAGAGTGGTGCAAGCCTGGCTCTATGACGAATCATGATTGGGGGAATCCCTTTTGTACCTAAGTTTCAAATCCGCAACAAAAATATAAAGAAATGGTTGAGACATTTCAAAAGCTTCAACAACTTTCCACCATTAAATTTTTGTTCAAAGTCACGAGGGGCGGTGGTTCCATATGGACCCTAACAATGCAAGATATGGATCTTGGACTTCACCTTTTTTATTGTTTATTCTTTAGAGGTTAGGCCAGGATTAGTGCTGGTTGAGATAAATAATGGGTAATTAGCCACAATTGGACATTTGGCACTTTTGTTTATTATTTTGGCTATGATAAGGAAGCCTTGTTTAGCCCCGCCCCGCCGCCCCCCCCCCCCCACCCCACCCCACCCCACCCCACCCCGCACCCCCCCAAAAAGCTAACTATCTAGAAACGTAACTTATGAATGACATCAAAACTTTTACAACTTTTTTTCCTTTTTTTTTGGGAAAGCTTGGTGTATGACTCCACCTGCATATAATTATATAATTATATGCAAACCTACTTCTTAGCCGTTCGACTTGAATGGACAAAAATGTCACAATGTTACACCAAATACTGTTTGATTTTTAAATTTTTCTGCAAAGCATTTTTTTAGTGAAATTTGGAGTGCACCTAGCAAAATTTTAAAATAAAAATAAAAATGAATAACCAAAATACCCCCAAAAGTTTCATGGTATTTATATAATTTTTCATCAAAAGAAATATATTTTTATTATTTTCTCATGTGTGCCCCCAGTCAGTTGTATGCATGCTCCAAATTTTGCTACAAAATGATTTGTAGAATAGAAATTAAAAATAAAACACTGATTAGTCAGATCAACTTGTGACATTGTGACTCAAGCCATCCAACCATCTACTCAGATTCGACTGTTTAGAGTACGGGGTCACATATACTTTATATGAGGATAGAATCATATGTAAAGCTTTCCCTTTTTGTTTTGGGTGGGGGAGCGATTAATGCTTTACTTCATTCATGGGTTGGCCAATATCCTACACTTGAAGATGTCGTTTTGATTCAACGACACAAATGAATCAACGACATGTTTGGTAGGACAACTCGCACAATCATCATCCAACCCATTTATGGTCACGCTGTTATCAAATTCATGCGATTATATTGTACTGGCCCATTTTAAAATAAAGAAGAAGTTTATATTCCATATGCTCATGGCAACAACCATGAAGTTTATCATGTCCAATCAATTTGTTGGAGGAAAAGTAGGACTGAATTGTATGGTCAGAACCACTGGTCACCATGCAAGCATTGAATGGATGGTGATAACCTCATGGTCAAATGATGAACCATATGAATAATACTATATGAGCTCTTAAATTAGTGACTTTCTAGTATTTTCAATCAATGTATTTGATAATTCCAAGAACGTTTTTGATTGCTCATGAACTTAGTATAATGGTTGAACATTCAAATGGTTATAACTGGTGTAGTATACAATAAGATAGTTTGCCTATGGTACAAAGTAATCATAGTCACCCCTTGTTATCATATTTAAAATGGGAAAAGTTTGTATAGAACCGCCGAGGCTCTAAACAATCAAATTAGAGCCTACCATAAAAAATTTCATTAGAAGATGTCGTTTTGATGCCTAAATATCCTTAAATTGATCATCTCGACATCAAGATGCATGGACATGAGATAAAAAATAGGTTTTAAATTTTAGAAATAGTGTATTTTGTAACAAATTTTTGGACCGTCAATTTTTAAGTTTGCACAGATCAATTGATCTACACTATATTTAGAGCTTTAATCTTTATAAATAAAGATGAAATATATTTTAAGACAATCACAAAGATTTCCCGTATTGAAACAACATTTCTCGATACTATTTGAAAGTAGGCTCTAATTTGATTGTTTAGAGCCTAGGCTCTTTACAAACCGCACCCATTTGAAATTGGGTGTAATTTGTACAAAAAAAACATGACGACCATAGGAGAGAAAGTTGTTATAAATCCATTTCTGAGTCTAGGGCATTGTCCAAAATTGGGTGAGGCTGATAAAAAACAAAAAAGACAGGCACATAATCGTTGCATGTAAGGGTAAACGAACTGCCCCACCCGACTAGATCACTAATTCCGACTTATCCAGACCAGATCCGCATCCCCAATCCAGCGATTTGGCACGATCTGCCCCACCTGGCTGAGCTTTGAGCACTGGTTTGTTGAAGTTGTACTTCAACGAATTCAACTCCTATTGCACAACATAAATTAGCCAAGCCCGTCCATGTTAGCGAAAATTTACACCTGAAATCTGCCAAAGTATTGAGCAAGATATCTTGTGGCGATTTCAGATTGATTTTTGAGTAACATCATTCTCTTATTTGTTAAATCGTAGCAAATTCAATCGAGAGAACAAGGTTTGAAAAATCTGAAATTATGAATTCCAGCCAGGGTTCCAGTTTCACCCATGAAATTTTTGAAATTTCAAACTCTGGGTGACAATTGGTTAAAAGTAAAATCAAATTTGTTGCATGATCAGGTATGTGAATCTGGGCCGCAGAAATTTGCAGAAATGAACTTCACTCACAAACTTCACAGCGACATAAATATTCCCTTGTTCTCTTTGAAGTAAAAATAATCCAACAAACAGTCCATAAACTGAACTTAGTGGATCCTAAACTATCAAAAGGCTCAAAACGTGAGTAACCAAACAAATGAAAACCCATGCTTCATAAAAGAAATCAATCTTCATAACTACAACATATTATACATCAAAAGAATTTGGCGTCGCCTTCTTTCGTATTACAACCAATGTACAACTTTTCCCACAAAAACCATGGCTTACTATCTGTTTTCATGGATTTCCACAATTTCAAGGCAATTACAAGTCACCTAAGTGGAACAAGCTTTCGTATATGCAGATTAGCCCAGAATGTCCACAAATGAACCTTCAGCCAGAATTAGCTTCAACATCACAAAGTGGGCTGTTGAGAGCTTTTAGAAATTGAAGTTGCTGGCATCTAACCTCAAAATTATGCACCAGTATAAATATGGAGACGAATTGAAGATAAATATGAACTAGAGGGCAATGGCTCTCAATTATTTGAGCACTGAATTGCTCAAAATGCAAGTGAAGGGTCCGATTATTTGGGCACTGTTTTAGCCCAAATTGTTCAAACCACACTGAAATGCCCCTCAAGTAAGGCAACCCAAAAATTCCAACCCTTCAGTGGATGATATTTCAACTCCTTAACTTACCTGCTCTCCTATTAAATCAAGACCTACAACAAGGAAAGTGACCCCTTGAAACAACAAGAAATAGAAGTGAATCCCCTGAGCAGATAACAAGCTCCTAGCAGCAGCAGCTAATAGAATGAAGGCAAGGGCAAGCTCTTTCCGATACAGGCGATTACTCCTACTTTTCCCCGTTTTCTTCTTCTTCTCCAATCTGTTCAACTCATCAAGACCCGATTCTGAAGAAGCCCTATGAAGAAGGCTCGTGCTTTCCTGTGGAACAGATGATTCCTTTTCCATAAAGGCAACTAAGTCGGCTTCAGAAGATCTTCCTAGTTTCTTTGTAACTACCCATTCATATGAGCTTGTAAATTTGAATAATCCTGATATCATGGCATTGAACTTGGTAACAGACATTGTGTTCTCGAAAAGGAGGTACGGAACAATGAATGGGAAAGACCTCGGTGATGGAAGGATATTCAAGATGGACATGACACCAGGCACATAGCACACGACCCAGGTGGGTAGTTGGGCCTCAGGCACGAACATGGTCAAAGGGAGGATGATGCAGAAGAGCATGAATGAATAGAAGGGCAAGACGAGCTTCCGAAGAAGAAAGAAGAGGAATATCAGATTGGCTTTCGCGAGAATACTCACCTGCAACAAAGTACAAGGACTAGAAATTTGAACCCAAAAGCACAATGACAGTACACAAGCAAGAATTGCAGGATTTCTTATATACACAAACACACATGGCTATATATGTAGCACAATAACAATATGCCGCATATCATCTCCAAGTCATTACTCAATAACAGACTCTGTTTATGACCCATCCTTCAGCTTGAGTGTTGTTGGGCATGGACAGTGGAGACAATACACAGCATATTGTTAGCGTGCTACATCAAGAAAAGTATACAATTATTTTTCATGTGTGTGTGCGTGCACCTGATCAAGTTGGAAGGCCCTTTCACTGGTCATTGTGGGAGTTACATCTACGCTGGATCTCGCACATCATCAGGATGGACTTCCATAATAATCAGTGAGAGGACCCTCCCACCTGATCATTCTTACTTTGAGCATGTGTGCATGAATGTGTGTATGTAAGGTTACAACTAGTGCTCTCCGATAGAGCTCTGCGAGAGGAACCCACATGTATATTTTCAATGGATAACAATAAAGTTTGTACGAGGAACTTTAAATATTTAATATGCCAAAAACTAGTAATGAAACTAACAGATAGATAGTCATACTATGGTTCATCACTAACATGGGATATTAACTCGTATCCAATGCGCTGCAGTCCAGATGCTCAAGCCACAAGTGAGGAATCTTTAGGCAAGGTGGGAGTTGAACCCAAGCCATACTCATTGTTATTTCTCTAGTTCAAGGACATCTGCTGCACTAATTCCGCACGTGTGTTGTGTTTCTCTCTCTAGGTTTTGGGCACATCTTGTCCAAGGGATTGATACCTCCTGTAGTTTGTGTCGCCTAGATTTGTGTTAACAGATGGACTTGCTTAACTAGAAAAAGTAAAACAACATAACACAAAACCCAAATTACAATGAACCAATACCATCATTTCTTAGATAAATAAAGTGATGCATTCAGGTCTTGAAGAGGCGTGACCTTTTACCTTGATGTCTGTTGGGGGATCCAAAGCTTAAATTGAAAATCTCTTCAAGATCTATATGACTCCAAGCTGCATGGGCTTTTCCTAAAACATTTCATGCATCAAGTTACGGTTGAAAGCCTGCTGGAAAAATTAGTGACGAATTTATTTTCTTTAAGTGCGTTAAGTTTCTTTGTTTCCCTTACTGAGTCCTAGAATCTTAGGTGGGGAACCTAGGAAATCTACTAGAATATTTGGGGCTCCACAGGTTAAAATATCGAATCTTCAAATTTTAGTAGTAAGTTGTTTCTTTCCTTGTTTTGCAAATTAAGTTAGCTTCCTAGTTTGTTTAAGACAGTAAAAATAGTTTTTCCAGTTCTTTAAGGGTCTTGTTTCAAAACTATAAAGAAACTAGATCCCTAACCATGAAAGAATCTAGATGACTAGGAAGTTTACGAAAATAGAGATAGCTTGACACAAAACTAACTTAAATAAAGAGGGATTCAAACCTCTATAAATACCCATATTGGCCTAGGGCAAAAATAATTCATATTGAGCAATAAAATTTGGATAACTTCAATAGTGGTGAAAGACCACGTTTAGAGGAGAGATTCCCAACCGTTTTTGCAGAGAGTGGTCTGCAACTCAAGCCTAGGATTAGGATAGTTGCTCCAAGTTTCGAAGGTCTTCTTTTGATTAAGTGATTCCCTAAATCCCTAGCTTGCAGATTGGAGATTCTCCCAATGTAAGTTTGGCCCTTTCTTCTTTCCATCTTGTGTGGCACTTCCTCATTCAAGATTTCCCTCAACCAATTCACCACTCTTCTAGTCCTCTTTTACAACAACCTTTCTTGAACCTTAATATGCTAGGCAACACCTGCCAATCATCAACCATGCGCATACACCCTCATACCCTAAATTAGCCTTAATCTCGGATCATTCCTTTACAAATCCACCAATTACTCTTACTAGATCTGTAATTTTCCAACAACTTTAACCCTCCTTAACAACCTCTAAACCTAAACCTTATTGTTCACCTAACTATATCTTACCCTTCCTTATCACCTTACTTCAATCCTACCCTATTTATGTTGGGGAGTGTGGCTTTTAAAGGCCTTTTCATTTGGTATTTGGATTTCAGCTCTCGTGCGTTCCAGTGTGCTTAGGTACTCATATATTTGTACTACTGAAAGTGGGGCACGGCTTTGGAGAAAGATACCATTAGAGTAATATTTTTAAATTTGCGTTATTAATTAGAAACAAGGCCAAACATAGCCAAAAGCACATTGTAAATATTCAAATTTGTATTATAAATTAGAAACATAGCCAAAAAATCTTAAAGGGCCCTCACGGTTGATCAAGTCCACAGAAGAGGGCAGCCAATCACTAATAGGTGTGCCATGTGCCTAGTCAATGAAGAAAGCAACACACCTTTTCCTCCATTGTACCCTGGCCCAGGGTCTATGGGGGGGCAATATTCCAACTGTTCAGATGGCAGTGGGTCACCCCACTGTCCATTCCAGCTCTTTTTCATTTGATTCAATCAAGTCCTTAGCCCAAAGCCAGCAGGATTCTGTGGAGAGCCACAGTAGCAGCTACCATCTGGGTCATCTGGATTGAAAGATATGCTAGAATTTTCAAAGGTGAGAAGTGTTCGATGGCAGCGCTCATTAACAATTTCACATCTTCGGTCACCTTCTGGCCTACCAACCACAAGAGGCTACCCTTCTTCAGCTTCCACCAAAATTGCTAGCCTTGCTACACACCAGACCACCGTGTTTCCCTCGAGCTCACCACTGGTCCCCACCCACAGACCAAACTGAACTTTGATGCTAGCTTCCTTGGCAACCCCGGCCCAGCAGGCGTCGGTGGCATCTTCAGGGACCACAATGGACAAGTCCTCGCCTCCTACTCCACCAAGCATATCTCATGCTGACTCCCAGTCAGGGTGAGTCCTTGGCCCCTCTGGAAGGCATCAAACACTTCAATCCCCTTTGGAGCCAGCTTTTGATCATAGAAGGAGATGCAACTAACATTATTACTTGGGCCTCAGACTCCTTTCCTTGCCCCTGGTCTCTCGCCCCAGGTTTTTGACAAATTACTCATATTTGCAGCGATATGGTTGTCTCATGGAGGCATACTTGGCAGGAATCCAATGCCGAGGCAGACACTCCCATTAAAGATAGAGCTCACAACAGTCACAATTGATTTTTTGGAAACTCAGTCTTGAGAAGTCTCTTGTATTATTTTGTTTATATCTTTTGGGCAAGTTTTAGCCCCCTTTTTTGTATAGGGCTCCCAATCTGTGGGATGCCTATTTTTTGGGTTGGTGCTTCCAGCTTGTGGATAGCACCTATTCTCTTCTTGTAACTCCCTCACCTTTACTAATAGAACAGTTTTTTAAAAAAAACATAGCCAAAAATATTTTATAATCACAAAAATAACAAACCATTAAAATGGTAAAAACACTAATGAAGTTTCATCATAAATAGAAGGCCAAGTTTCAAAAATAAACACAAGAAAATGCTAAAAAAGTATATCATAACATAATACTTACAAATTATATGAAACCCTAAACAAAAACAATTAACTTACTGACCTTTTGAAAACCAATTGAAGTGAACTTTGAATCGGTCACTTTCGGTTGGCGAAAGCTCTAATCCCCAAAAAGTTTGAATTCGAATTCGATCCTTTAAAAAAATGATTTTGATCTAAAAAAGTAGCTTTAGGGAAAAAATAGAGTTCTCTAGGCTTGGTTTTTTTTTTTTTTGGAGGGGTGGGGGAAGGGGGGGGGGAAATGCCCCCGAAATGGTATTTCCCCCATCTAATTGGCCCTTTTGGTGAGGGTAACTTTCACACTTGCTAAAAGAGCTCTGGTGGGGTGCCTAGGCGGTGCCTTGGGCGACTAGTCAGTTACCCAAGGTCACCACCCCGTCCTAGGCCGCATAGGCCCAGTGTAGGACTGCGAGGCCACCTAGCCGTTTGGGCGGGAGGCGGCCGACTTTTTGAACTATGCATTAGAGTGATGAGTGCTGCCTCCATGAATGAAAGAAGCCATGCGATAAGACTTCATGGATGAAAGAGGCCATGAGAGTGTTTTTGCTCGTGCTTCTATGTTTTAGAACATTCATAGTTTGAGTGGTAGTTTTGGACACATGAATGAGATAGAAGATGCAAGCCTATTCTTCTTGGATGAAACATGCCATTAGTGTAAATGAACTCTACTTGGATGAAACATGCCATTAGAACAAGCATGAGTAGGCTCTATTTGGATGAAACAAGTCCTTAGAGCTAGTTGGTGCTATCTCCATCTCGGACATAGTAGGCTCCGACAAGCTTTGGTGTGCAACTAGGCGTTGGCTAGATTACTGGACCCACACCCTAGGCTAGATAGCTCAGACCCTATGAAGTGCATACATATTGAGGATTAACAGGTACCCTGTTGAGGTCGGCATAACCTGGCGCTGGATGTTATTTGGCAAGGAGATGAAATAAGTTCCTATGCGTTGGGTGGTGGCTTGCGAGGACAAGTGCAGAACACCTTATCATGACATCCTACATAGTGTGTGAGCTGCTAGTCACATTTGTCTGGTCCAGTGATGGATCAGGAACATGCATGTGCCTGGGAGAGGTGCACCATTCAAGAAGTAAACTTGCACACTCTTGTGCAGTAGTTGGTTTATGTACTGGACCCTAAACTTGTCCTTGGGAGGGCTCCTAGAACCTATGGCCATCTATGGCACTTCTATGCCTTGACCAACTTTGATAGGCGTACCATGAGCCCCTTGCATGGGAAACATATAGGTCATGGGTTTGTTGGGATGTTTTGAGCTCTAGAATGCGGTCATAGGATTGTTACACACCACCTCGTAGAGGATCTAGTTTCAGTGCTAGCACACTCTTCAAAGCCTTTTTAAAGAGGCTTTCCAAAGGTTTTCAGAGAAAAATAAATGTTTTATTTTTCCATTAACCACCCAAGTATTGTGTAAAATTTTTTGTATTAAAAAATCATTATTTTCGGAAAGAAATATTTGTTTTTATACAGGGACTTTCCTGGAATTATTAATTTCTATACATTGAATATAAGTTAGAGATCATGTAGGAGGTGCATTGGGCCTTTAATGTGGTCAATGGTTTGACCAATTGACCAACATAGACCCCACTGGTCATGGAGGTCACATGGCTTGTCTAAGAGTCAAACATGGTGACATATGGGCCCCATGGACTCCAACACGATGTGTGATCTCTAATATGTGTTGCCTAAGTGCAAACTGAATCCAAGTGAATCTAGGTGACTAGGTAGTTGAATTTTTTTGAAATTTGGAAATCTTAGGTGTTTAATACAACCTAAAAATCTTTTCTAATTGAAGTTTGAATCCAATCAGAGGTGGAAGTTTCCCAGGAAGGTTCTATTAGACTCTGTATAGAACTAGATGTGTTGGAATTAGATTCCTCTGAGGGATAATGGTGTTTTATCCAACTCAGATCAATTATGGCTGGCCAAGGGACGATTGGCTAAAATTAACCCTCTCACACCATTAATCTCCTATTAAAATTAGAAGGCAAGTTCCCTTTATATAGCCATTTTACCCCTAAACTATTCTACAATAGGGTACCCCACCCTTTAGGTGAGATATTACTAGGTTTTCTCTAGGGCATCATGAGAATCATAGATAATGGGATCAAGATCAAATCAGATCTGGGATTGGGATTGGGATTGGGATCCGGATCCGGATCGGGATCAGGATCTGGACCGCAAGATCCTGGCAAGTAGAAAGCTCCCTATGGTAGGAATTGTGGTCTGCACACCCTGAAAACTAGGGATCTCGATACAAATATGAATTATACAAGACTGGCTCCATTTGGTTAAAAATTCAGGGCCTTGAATGACTTAACTGGAAAAGTAGTATAGTATTAGTATACTATGTTACTACATTGCTATACCATACTGCTACCTTATAATAGTATAATGCTTGCTAGAGAATCTGGATCCCATGTAACTCAGGACCTCGATCCCTAATATGAAGGACTGAGATTCCAAAATTTAAGGATCACAGAGGAGCGACGATCCTTTCCTCGAAACACAAGGTCGGGAATCTCGAGCAGAATCGACCCCTTGGTAGGTGGATCCCAGTAATTATGATGTGGAGGGCCAATGAGCTTAGTTTTCACGTAGTTTCAGAGAAAGAGAGGGGTACATGACTTCTAGGAGGGCTTTGAGTTGCGTGGAAGAGAAACAATACAGGTGCATAGTTAGAGTTCTCTTCCGAGTCCTTGTTTGAGAAACCCACTTAGAGAGAGGAAGAAGACCTCTAACCTGCAACTCCATGATTGATTTTCGACCCAAAACAAGGAGGTATTCCTACTTCCCAGAGAGTTTTGGTGAGAAGAAAAGAGAGATAGGATGAGGCATTCGTATAGGGGTTGTGTAAGGCATTGAGAATTCTTCCAATCAATTTTGTGTGGGAAATCAAAAGGGGAAGAAGAGGCTGCAATATAAAAAGCCTTATCTGCAATTTTTTCACCCAAACCTGAATGGAAGGAAGGAAACTTGCAGTCTAGTGGGCGAGCCATCAATCGGGAGAGATTACATGGGGTGTGCGAAGTCCTGAGGGTGGCTGTGAGCAAATTTTTGCAGATTTTTCTGTTTTTGGAGTACCTGTTCAAAGACATGGTAGCCACTCTCTTGGACCAAGCTATGTTTCCTTTGTGTGGATGAGCCTCGTTTTGTGTCAAAATTTCAGGCTGGCATGTGTAAAGTCAAGGAGTTACATGGCATAAATAAGAGGCTCATTCTGTTCTCTGTAAAAGTTTAAATTTCCACGATGTTACCTGGTCATCGCTGCTCACAATTACCTTAAATTCCCCACTCTATTCCAACTAGGAGGCATTGAAATTCCCATAACCATGCTGTCCCATAATTTTTCTAAGCTCATAATGTGTATCAAACTAGTATAGGAGCCAAGCTCCCTTGGTCCTACATCAATCAGTCTACAACCACTACAATCATATGGGAGAGATAACCCACCTTTGAGCGAAGGATGTCAAAGAAACACAAGCGGAACAACTGCATTGGACCTGAATGCCACCGATACTGTTGTTTTTTATATGCCTCGTAGGATTCAGGAAGCTCACAGAGACACTGGACAAGAAATAAAAATCATTGTTAAGAGAGAGAGAGAGAGAGAGAGAGAGAGAGACTCAACACACTCCACTTCCTAGTGATTTAATTCTCATATTGGTAGAATCTATTTATGGTATTCAACCAAATTTCTATGGGGCTACGACACATACCTTGACATCATTGAGAAATATAAATTTCCATCCATCGAGGTGGGCTCGCACAGCAATATCCATGTCTTCCACAGTAGTTCTCTCAAGCCAGCCACCAGAATCCTCAAGAGCCTTTATCCGCCACACACCAGCAGTGCCATTGAAACCAAAGAAATTCAAAAACATGCCATTCACCTGCTGTTCCACCTCAAAGTGGAAGGATAAATTTATGTTCTGCAATCTTGTCAACAAGTTTTCATCTTTGTTCACAAATGACCACCTTGTCTGCACCAGTGCTAGATCTTCTTTACCCTTTTATATGAAAAAAGAAAAGCCATAAGAATAAAATAAAACATACCTTTTTATCATTAATAAATAAAATATACAGGCACGTAAGATTCTGATAATTAAAGTCATCCAATAATTTATAAGTGGGCGCAGTAGACCTATAGTAAAACTCTGAACACAGGTGCACTTATGACCAGCATGCCCAATCTCATTCTGTTCACATGGATTTCTAGCATGGTAGTCTTCTGTATATATTTATAATTTTTTTATTTTTGGAAAAACTCAATGAATTCCAAAAGGCTAAGAGAAAATTAATCTCAATCGAAGAAGAAAATAAAGCAATTAAAATAGTTTCCCCATAGTTTTTGGAACTAATTTTTACTGCATGTGTTTTATTCATGCGATGAGCATAGTGTCTTATGTAGGAAAATTCACATCATTCCGCTGTCCAATCTGAAAACAGATGACCAGGGTGTGTCATTCCCTTTGCTCAAAGTCCTGAGGTCTGATAAGAGGAAACGCACAACCCTGAGGTCTGTCATTCCCTTTGCTCAAAGTCCTGAGGTCTGATAAGAGGAAAAGCACAGCCCTGATGTCCGACATTGACATCTTGTGCAAATTTATACTAGCTTTTAATCACACTCATGCTTCATCCTCAAATCAATCTCTATCTACTGATTGCTAAGAATGAGATTAGTTTTTCTCAAAAAAACTGTTGATGGAAAACCAAAAAATTAAGGGGAAAATAATGTTGACTTAAGGACCAATATATTCTTTCCTAAACTCACAATATGTTATTGAGATTATCAGAAAGCTAAGAGGTCCGTGTCTTTATGTACCTTAAAATGAGGAATAGTCTTCTTCAAGAAGTCGGGTCCAGGTTGAAAGTCTGCATCAAAAATTGCCACATACTCATAATCCTTTACATACTCACAGTTCATAGCTGATTTGAGATTCCCAGCCTTATAACCCGTTCGTATAAGCCGGTGCCTATATAAGATGCGCACACCCTTCTGCTGCCACTTGCTCACCTCCGTGTTGATTAGACATTGCACATCCACATCATCAGAGTCATCCAGGACTTGTATAAGCATATGATCCCGAGGCCAATCTTGGGCGCACACAGCAGCAATTGATTGTTGGTAAACCTGGAAAACCGCACATGAAGCGCAATTTGAGCCGTGTATGATTTATACATACATACCAAGAGTAGCTTTGTCATTTATTTATAGGGAAAGTGACCTCTACCCCCTCCCCAAAATTTCCATCCCTATCAATCCCTTAGGTTCACCAAAATCCCTTGTACCCCCTCAAGTTTAAAATTATAAGGCCGTTAGCCCCCTAATTATGCTTTTCTTTGTTCATTTTACAAACTTGATATTTTTATTTTACAAAATGCCAAATCCTTCCATTAGTCAACTTCCCTACCTTTCTCTTCCGTTGCCTAAAACGGATCTTACCTCCGTAGACCCCACTCTAGAAATTTAGACATAACAAGAAAATGAATTTTTTTTTAACATTATGACCTATTTTACAATTGCATCTATAACTTTTGAACTTGGAAAATGATTAATCAATATCTTTATTACTATTGTTAATGGATTATTATTATTTATTTATTTAATTAAAAAAAATTCTCAAAATACCTATAAGAGATGAATTATTTAACAATTAATATACTATAGTTGTTATTATTGTTATTATTATAATTGCCATTAATTATAATTGTTATTATTATTATTATTATTACTATTATTATTATTATCATCATCAATAAAATTTGTCTACCAAGTCGCAAAAAAAAAATGGATGACTAATGTATGGGTTTGGCATTTTGTGATTAAAGTTTTAAAAAGAACAAAGAAAAACATAATTAGGGGGTTAGTGGTCCCAAAGTTTTAAACTTGAGGGGGCACAAGGGATTGTGGTCATCCCAAGGGGCTAATAGGGATGAAAACTTCAGTGAGGAGGGTAGAGGTCATTTTTCCTTATTTATATAGGAAATTACACCATAGTCCATACTGTCATTGTAACTATATAGTCATAGGGGTCATCACTGTCACATCAATGTGGAAGGTGATGACCGGGACTGGGTCCCACGAAACATGTACATCCCACTCTTCCTTCACCATCCAACACATTTTTTGGAAGGTGATAACCCTATACTTGGTTATATATTGTCTGTATGTGTAAATATGTACTAGTATATTTGTCAATTTTGGTTTGCATAAAATGCTAAACCCCATGAAGGTATTTGACGTAAGGAATTCTTCATTGGTATTCATGAATGAAATCAGTTTCGGTAAGAAATCAATCTTATTTTACAATGCTACACCAGAGATCAAGATCTAAATAGGTCAAAAAATTTAAATAAAATAAAAGCACAATATTTTAAGATACATTTTTGAACTCAAAAGCATCTTCAACCATCAAAGAGAACTCGAGTGAAGCACACTAGAAATATGTTTGAGGTTTGAGCATTAAGAAATAATCTATATATACAGAAAATGTATATAGGCCACAATATCTTCTGCCGCTCCTCCTTTCCTGCATAATATTTGCTAATTTCAGCATTTCAATGGAATTTTCTTATCCAATTGGCACTTAGAACTTTGTGTTTTAAGTAAAATGGTTATGTTGCATATGGTAATCAATTGCCATGTTTGGATACTTCCTTTCTCCTGGCTCTTAACAGGATTAGAGCTTAATAATGGTCACACCCTTCTCCAAGATCCTTTTTTGTGACTAGAACTCTAGAAGTCATCAAGTTAGCATGATTCAAAATTTTCTCTCTCAAAACAACAAAAATGGCCCCTAACTATAATGTGTATCAAGTATAATAATGCATAATAGTATCCCTATCACTCTAGTCATCATCACCATCATCGAAGCCTTTTTCCAACTAATTGGGGTCGGCTACACGAATTGTAGTCTGTCATTCTGCTCTATTAAGAGTCATGCCCTCAAGCTATAAGTCCTCATATCTTTTCTCACTACTTCCAACCATGTCCTTTTGAGCCTACCCCTAGCCCTTTTTGAGCCTTCCACTAGAACTAACTTGCACCTCCTATCATGTGATGTACTGGGTTTGCACTACACATGGCCAGCCCACCTAAGTCTATTTTCTCTCATCTTATCAGCTATTGGTGCGACACCTAGATTCTTCTGAATGTATTCATTTCAAATTCTATCCCTTCTTGTCTTTCTACTCATCCATCTTAACATCCTCATCTCAACTACACTCATTCCAACGGTATGTTGTTTCTTGACCGCCCAACATCCCTATCACTCTAGTGATGAGCTAAAACAACTGTTGATCATACATGACATTCCATTTCCATTTTTGCATATTGTTTTTCTAGCATTAGGGATTTTGGTTTTGTTTCTGTAATTTTGGATGCTAGAGTCATTAACTACATTCCCTCTCCTTTTTTCCATTTTACTCGTTTTTTAATATTTATATATATCTTAACCAGTTTATTTTTTGTAACATTACCATAAATTATTTTCAACTAGGGAGATCCTTTAAATGCCTTATTCATGTCTGCCACCTCTGTTTATTTGCCAACCAGAATTTTGAAAAGACAAGGGAAAAGATGAGAGTGAGAGAGAAAGAGAGAGTATTAATGATTAAAAAAAAATGATAAGAGAGAGAAACTCGATGAGCAACCATTGTAATGAAGTTTTCCAAAACAGGTAGGGGAAAAGGAGCAGTGTCATACAGAGTTCACACTGACTATACACTTCATAAGGAGCCCAGACATCTCAAAATCATCCGAACCAGTATGATCCACATAACAGTAATTTCTAGGACTTGGGTAGCAGGCTATCAGAGTCCTATAGGTCCATCCTCGTGTCTGATATACCACAGTCTATAATAAAGTACGTAAAATTTCTAGATTTTCTAGAAAGGCGGTTCACATCATCAGATCTGGCAAAACTAAAATCAACATAAACCCTTTCAATTTTCCGTAAATTCTATATAATATGGAAACTATCTGATAGCATGACTAATGATGTATTTTTCAGTCAAAACCATT